AATATCAGTATCAGATTCTATTAAAGCTTTTTCCAAGACAGGACTTGATTCTACTGATATGATTAATCTTCTAGGTACTTCACCTCTGAGCATAAATTACTCATTTTGCCATTACTTATATTTATGATTATATTGCTTTCTTATTTCTTTTTTTGTAATTATATTTTATTAAGAAATATTCTTTTCTTAATTGTATTTTTGTGAATTCTGAATTCTCATTTAGAAAAATGTACAAACTAAAATTGATAAATATATTTCTAGAAATATTAACTAAAAAAATTCAACCTTTGATTCCAAATCTTTTGGATTTTTAATTTTTGATAATATTACTTTAATTTTTCTAAACTTAGTACAGGACAACATAACGAGTATATTTTGATAAAAGTTGATGGAACATATGGTTGAAAAGTTATATATCCCATAAAATGTGTGATTAAAATTAATTGTTGATTTTGACCTAGAGTTTTTATCAAATTTTAATATATATCGAGTAGGGGCTAAGTGCTTATTTAGAGAGCTTAAACTATAATTTAAACAGGTCCCACAAGATATGAGTAGTAGTTGCAAGTCGTACGAAACGTGTGTTCAAGCAATTATAAATTTAAACAATCCAAACAAGCACTAATTATGCAAAAATATAAGTAGGTTATTGAATAATATTCGTTTATTAAGGTTTTACACTGGCTACGCAGAACTATGGACCTTGTTCTTATTTCAAATAATACATTCTCTCATAGCTTTCGACTCTCAATATTAGTGTCCACCCAACATAGTGCTTCCATCGTAATTGTTCTTTCCAATTAAAGCTAATGACCAAGAAATATTAATTGAGTTCTCAAAGGATAAAATTAAATTTTGTCTTCGCAGGTGCCCACACGGTCGGAGTCGCTCATTGTTTGCTCTTTCAAGATCGTCTCTACAACTTCCAAAACACGGGCAAACCTGATCCAACCATGGATTCCACACTGCTAAACACACTAAAAATGAGATGCCCTCAGAATTCAACTGCTGATAACCCAGTTAATCTTGATCAAAACCCTTTGAGCTCAAT